CAGTGTTGCCAACTTAGCAATTTTGTTGCTAAATTTAGCAACTTTTCAGACTACCCTAGCAACTTTTTCTTCCAAAAGCACCTAGCAACAAATTTAGCTATTTTTAAATTTTATTTGGCTACTTTTAGCAACTTTTGATAAGTGGCTCAGACAATAAAAAGGCACACATTTTCCAACAAAATTACACAAAAAGAGGCAACCAAAGATGCCTAGCAGTACACAACATCACGTGAATTAAGTTATTGCTATTTGCAGTTATTTGATTTGATAATAATAATAATTTAATAATTGTTCATTTATGATGCACCTTGTTAGTAGCTTGTACCTGTGATTGTTGATCAGTTAGTACACTGTAAGAAAAATATCTAGAAAAATGGCAAAGGTACTAGTAATTTTCCAGGACATTATCCGTTATCCATTATCCATTGTAACCCTTTAACCGAAAACACTAAATACAATGCGTAATTTAAAATGCAGGTACAAAACCTGTGAAATCTTTTCTTAGAGTGTAGCATACTGACTACTAACACACTGCTTAAAACTATAATTGTTCAGAATGTGTAGTTTTACTAGTTTACTAGCTAATAAAAAACTTGTAATCATTCAAAAATGTGAGTGTTCAATAATTCAATGTTGTATGTAAAAATAGTTATTTATATTTTAAAATTACATTATGTAATTATATTATTTTACGAACAAATCTAAATTAACATATAAAAATTAAAATATGTAAAAAAAAACTTTTTATTTTTTGCTGCGATTTGATGTAGTGACACAATTTCGTGTCGTGTTACGTAATGACGTCATTGCGCAGTGACATCACAACGTCATTTAGCAACTTTTAGCAACAAATCGACCTTCCTTTAGCAACTTCCCCTGAAAATTAGTAGGCAACACTGATTTTTGGTCTGTTTTTCCAGAAGAGAAAGTTTTACATTCTGAAAGCTTTTAATGCTAAGTGCTTATAGTGTATATAACGTTTAAGAGTGAACTATAGCCTACTTAAAAATTAAAGGTTCCAAAAGGATTTTTTTTTTGCAGTGATGTCATACTGTAGAAGAGCCATTTTTAGTTTCCAAAAAAAGAATAAAGAACCTTTACTGTTATGAGTGTAGAATATTAATGACCTCAAAGCCCCATAACTGCTATATTTCTGTCCTGGAGTGTTTTGAAGAGAGACATGTCTAACCTGTGTGTCTGCGCTGGTGTCTCTTGAGTTGGTCAGATCTGGAAAACCTGCGGCCGCAGTCTGTGTAGTCACATTGGTAGGGCTTCTCACCTGTGTGTGACAGAAAATCACAATATGTGAACACGACTGTAGTCTCTGCCATTAACCAGTAGCCATTAACATGAAGCCTCCACAAGGGGGCGCAGTTTAAATTGAGCATTTATTTTGTTGTTATGCTCTGAGTGTCATAAATCATGGATTTATCTGTAAAACTGTACATGCCATGAGGTCACAGATTACTCACTCCAGATGTTTCTTAGTAATTCTGGTGATTCTTGTGCAACTGAGAGGAGGCCCTTACAAATAATTTACTATGGTAACATTATTTCCACCAAAATAGAGATATACTAACTGGTATTACTGGTATTAACACAAGTGTGTTCAAAAGAAATTAAAAAAGACTGGAAGACTCCAACAGCAGATCCCATATTAATTTTATATCAAATTTCCAGCAATGAACATTTACATTTATTCATTTAACAGACGCTTGATTTACAATGCAGTTTCTGTCTTCTAATTAACTTTAACTCACAACAAGCTATGCATTTGTTATAGAATTTATTCATCTTTGTTATCATTAGTATGCTCAGGTCCATTTAATAATATTTCTTTTTTACAAAATTGTAATAATGTATTAGTAAATGTTGAAATGAACAATAACTAAGATTCACAAATGCTTTAGAAGTATTTTCATTATATTCAGTAGTATATAGCTACCTAATGTTAATACCTAAAGTAATAATAATAGTCCTGCACTGACTCATGTTTACTGTAAAGTGTCTTCTTCAGGGTGTGGCTTTTCTTTCTTTGATTAGATGAGACTTGTTGATCAGTTAGTACACTGTAAGAAAAATATCTAGAAAAATGGCAAAGGTACTAGTAATTTTCCAGGACATTATCCGTTATCCATTATCCATTGTAACCCTTTAACCGAAAACACTAAATACAATGCGTAATTTAAAATGCAGGTACAAAACCTGTGAAATCTTTTCTTAGAGTGTAGCATACTGACTACTAACACACTGCTTAAAACTATAATTGTTCAGAATGTGTAGTTTTACTAGTTTACTAGCTAATAAAAAACTTGTAATCATTCAAAAATGTGAGTGTTCAATAATTCAATGTTGTATGTAAAAATAGTTATTTATATTTTAAAATTACATTATGTAATTATATTATTTTACGAACAAATCTAAATTAACATATAAAAATTAAAATATGTAAAAAAAAACTTTTTATTTTTTGCTGCGATTTGATGTAGTGACACAATTTCGTGTCGTGTTACGTAATGACGTCATTGCGCAGTGACATCACAACGTCATTTAGCAACTTTTAGCAACAAATCGACCTTCCTTTAGCAACTTCCCCTGAAAATTAGTAGGCAACACTGATTTTTGGTCTGTTTTTCCAGAAGAGAAAGTTTTACATTCTGAAAGCTTTTAATGCTAAGTGCTTATAGTGTATATAACGTTTAAGAGTGAACTATAGCCTACTTAAAAATTAAAGGTTCCAAAAGGATTTTTTTTTTGCAGTGATGTCATACTGTAGAAGAGCCATTTTTAGTTTCCAAAAAAAGAATAAAGAACCTTTACTGTTATGAGTGTAGAATATTAATGACCTCAAAGCCCCATAACTGCTATATTTCTGTCCTGGAGTGTTTTGAAGAGAGACATGTCTAACCTGTGTGTCTGCGCTGGTGTCTCTTGAGTTGGTCAGATCTGGAAAACCTGCGGCCGCAGTCTGTGTAGTCACATTGGTAGGGCTTCTCACCTGTGTGTGACAGAAAATCACAATATGTGAACACGACTGTAGTCTCTGCCATTAACCAGTAGCCATTAACATGAAGCCTCCACAAGGGGGCGCAGTTTAAATTGAGCATTTATTTTGTTGTTATGCTCTGAGTGTCATAAATCATGGATTTATCTGTAAAACTGTACATGCCATGAGGTCACAGATTACTCACTCCAGATGTTTCTTAGTAATTCTGGTGATTCTTGTGCAACTGAGAGGAGGCCCTTACAAATAATTTACTATGGTAACATTATTTCCACCAAAATAGAGATATACTCCAGAGGTAAACTGGTATTAACACAAGTGTGTTCAAAAGAAATTAAAAAAGACTGGAAGACTCCAACAGCCTCTTACACAGATCCCATATTGATCCGTTTTACTGTAATATTGTAACCGAGACTACGGCCACCATGGTTTTCTGTCATAAAAATCTAATTAATTTTATATCAGATTTCCAGCAATGAACATTTACATTTATTCATTTAACAGACGCTTGATTTACAATGCAGTTTCTGTCTTCTAATTAACTTTAACTCACAACAAGCTATGCATTTGTTACAGAATTTATTCATCTTTGTTATCATTAGTATGCTCAGGTCTATTTAATAATATTACTTTTTTACAAAATTGTAATAATGTATTAGTAAATGTTGAAATTAACAATAACTTAAGATTCACAAATGCTTTAGAAGTATTTTCATTATATTCAGTATTATATAGCTACCTAATGTTAACAAATGAAACATTAATGTAACTTTGTGTAAACCTTAATGCCACTTGAAGCTATTACCCATTTTTCTAATGTTTTCCAAGTAATAATAATAGTCCTGCACTGACTCATGTTTACTGTAAAGTGTCTTCTTCAGGGTGTGGCTTTTCTTTCTTTGATTAGATGAGACAGTACAAAACCTTTGCCACCTAAGTGACCCCATGTTTACTTTTCGAGGAGTGTGTGTGCCTGCGTGCGTGTGTGTGTGAGTAAACGTGTGTGTGTGTGTGTGTGTGTGTGTGTGTGTGTTGATTCATGGTTGTGAATAATGGTTGTTATCAGACTCACTCTGTCACTAGAATAAAGTCAGACATTCCTGAGTGCTGGAATTCAAATGTCCAGGGACCTGATCTCATGAATTTATGTTTCTGAGTGATGGAGACATTTTCACATGTTCTAATTTAATTCCCTGCCATTAACTTCTCTTATTGGAGGTCTGAAAAAATAGATCCCCCCATGATTTATGACTTTGTTATGCATGTTGCATAACACTGTAAATCTTACCTGCTGCTTTTTAAGAGAGAAAAAAATCTCAATCTAGACTATAAAAGCAGTTTGGATTGTTTGTGACCCCAAAATGAAACTGGAAACTTTTTTTGTTTTTTTGTAACGTCCACATATGTCTCACCTGTGTGTTTCCTGCCGTGCATCTGCAGGTGGGACAGTTTGAAGTATCTCTTACTGCAGCCGGGGTAAGAACACATGAAAGGCCGTTTCTCACTGCTCTCTGATGATTTAATGGAGGGAGCGATGCCTGGTACTCTCCGCACATCCTGGAGAAAGAAAAATAAAAACAGGATAATTGGCAATCAACAAACTCTATTTGCCAATTCTTCTGCACTTCTGAGCCTCTGTTTGTTTTAACTTCTGCGTTACCAAACCCCAGATGAGTTCTGCATCTGAACAAACCCTCTTATCTTGTGGCCTGTTAAATATCAATTTAGCTTTTAAAAGCCTTTAGAGGAAAGCTTTAAACTAAAGTTATAAACATACATACGTGCACACTATTCTCTGGACAGTATCAGCTTTCTCAAGCTCTGATGGATGTTGATTCAGGCCATACAAACACTACAGACTGAAGCAGTAGCTATGTTTCCATCACTGTATTTTTATGCACATTTTGAAGTGATGAAAATGACAAATTTCGGAAAAAAAATAAATCCTTTTAATTCGCAAAAAAGTTTTTATGCTCACTTGAGGTGGTTTTTAACTTGTGTGAAAAGGGTTCAAGTGACTTTGTGCGATGGGACAGCATCTGAAATGTTGTTATGGTTATTCTTAAATACCTGAGCAAAGTCTGTCGTCAAAGTATTTCTGTATAATCGTCTCACAGAACTGTATCCACCTCCGAAAGCAATGACCGCTTTTTTTGTGTTTCGTCTGCTCGCTCTGAGGCACAGTTAATTTATTATATATGGAAATTATTATATTCTGTGGCTTCTCCTACAGGGTCAGAAAGCTCTCAGATTTCATCAAAAATATCTTCAATTGTGTTCCGAAGATGAACGAAGATCTTACGGGTTTAGAACGACATGGGGATGAGTTATTAATTACAGAATTTTCATTTCTGGGTGAACGATCCCTTTAATTACAACGCACTTTGTGGTTATATTATAGTGAGAATCCAGTCTGTGTGTGCACAGGTAAAATGGATATGTGTATGAGTTTGTCGCTGTGTTTGAGTGTGTGTACCCACCTGTACTCCTCTGAACACACCATGTGTGTGTATGTGATACTGAGTGCTGCAGTTGTACACCAGCGGAGCTCCTGCAGACGCTTCGGCCTCATAACCACCACTGTGACTGGACACAAAGACAGAGAGTAGTTACACATAACTGCAGTTATTCATAACTGGCAGATAAAACAAAACCGCTCACAGAGAGACTTCTCAAACAGAGCTGACATATTATCTAGTGCAATGTAAATATGACCCTATAACCTATATAAGATTCTCAGAAAAGACAGATTTGGACATGTCTTCATAGCTCTGCTATATATGAATCAGCTTTTCCTCCTTATTAACAAAAGGATGTTGTTATATCTAAAAATAACTGTGTAAAACAGCCTCAACTGTCATAAATGATAGCAAGGGGGGACTGTTAGTCTGGAAGGGGATTTGTAGTGTGGGCAGTAACGGATGAAGAGCTGAAGACCTATAAAGCTTTTTCTTTGTCCGACTCACTTCACATCTCAAACTACACAATCAGCCATTGCTGCTCCAGTCCTCCCACAGCCCAACCATTCATCCGTTCAGTAGATAAACACCCTGTTGTCATGGCATTGGGGTGAGGAAGGTGGATACCAAATCTTTTATCTGGACAGCCGGCATAAATATTCTGTCCAGCGTCCCAGTCACCTACTCATCTGTCTATAGACAAGCACACATTCACTCAATCACTAAAAAACAACACTAAATTGGCAAAATGCTTTGGGACTTCCCCCCTGCCCCTCAGCTAGTCTACATCTCTTCGTTTCAACATCTCTCTGTCTTTCTCTCACACACAAAAACATGCTACCCTGGACTGCCCCTTCAACACATCCAAGGTCAGACACTCTATCTGGGTTGGACTGGTTGACTGAGCAGGATCCATTCCTATCTCCTCTGCTGTCACCACAGCATAATTCATGCTCCTACTTCACTCTGTACTTTTGTTTCAAAGTGCTGTGTCACATCAGAGGACTGTGAGGCCTTCCTTCAAATCACACACTAATTAGAATAGGGCAGAGAAGACGAGAAGAAGATGAGAAGAAGATGAGAAGAGAGGTGAGGGGGTGTAAAAATAATATGGGCTGTCTTTCTGTCCTTCTTAAAGACAGGAAAGTTTTGTAAGGAAAGGAAAGGAAAGGAAGCAAAAACATGGGAACAGTCAAAGAGGAAAGGAAAGGAAGCAAAAACAGTCAAAAAGGAAAGGAAAGGAAAGGAGATAGTTCTTTGTCTTGAACAATTTTATCACCCAGAGAGGAAAATTCTGTCATCATTTAATCTGCCTCATGTCTGTCTTTCTTCTGTGGAAGACAAACTGATTTGTTTGACGTCTTCAGAAGTTTCCGGCGACAAGTAGTTTTACATCCACAATGAAAGTACAAATTCTGTGCAACTTGACATAATCACAATCAAAATAAGCTCAAGATCTGTGTTTTCAATGTCTCAGAGATTGTTTAACATTTGAAAATTCAGACAGCCATAAAAATTATTATTCTAATTATTTATAGTTAAATAATAATATAATATAATATAATATAATATAATATAATATAATAATTATCAGAAAATAAAGTAGTTGGTGGTGGTGTTTCATTATTACTTTATGATTGGTTGCCATATTGCTTTCCAATAAATTGTAAATAAAGTGTTTCAAAATGCAAGAGACCGTTTCTAGGCCAAACACTGGTGAAAATAAGGTGGAATTTCCCTTTTCGCTCCCCTCTAATCTTACTTTATTGGCAAGAAATGGAGGTTTGTGAGGTCACCGGAACACACTGCAACAGAACCAGGCTGATGCAAGCGAGTGAGTTTGTTTGAGTGAGTGTATTTTCTTGTGATGGTTTCCAAAAGCACTCGGAGCTCCAGACAGCAAGGGCAATAGCGGGGATGCTGCGATCACGTCTTATCAAAACTGGATGCCTTATTTCGGGTTCTGTGATCTCCTTTTCTCTAAACAACATGAGAGCAGTATTCGAAGAATGCACACTAATTCCTGTGTCACTGATGAAAAGCTACATTTCTCTTTAACTGCATCTTCTTCTTCACCTTTCTTTTAAGGAATATTTGATCCTAAAATGAATATCGTCATTAATTTATTGTTGGTCCATACAATGTATGTGCTATATTAAAAGTCGTGTGATGTACACTTGAAATGTATGCTGCCTTTCAAAAATTTCTTTTGAAAGAAATTGATACTTTTATTTAGCAGAGATGCATTCAATTGATCAAAAGTGACAGTAAAGATATATAGTGTAACAAAACAATTTATTTCAAAAAATGCTGTTCTTCTTAACTTATATATCATTGTTTCCACAAAATATATATAATCATTTTCACAAAAATATTAAGCAGTACAACTGTTTTCAACACTGATAATAATCAGAAATGTTTCCTGAGCAGCAAATTAGCATATTAGGATGATTTCTGAAGGATCATGTGACACTGAAGACTGGAGTAATGATGCTGAAAATTCAGCTTTGCATCACAGGAATAAATTGCATTTGAAAATATATTCAAATTAAAATATTTATTTTAAATGAAAATAATATTTCAAAAACTTTTGAAAACTATAATTTTGAATGGTAGTGTAAATTGTTATATGCTGATATTCTGGTTTCCTCGCCTCATAATAAAGTTCATTTTTTGAATACATAACTCTTTCTCTCTGTCCTCTCATGTCTCTGGGGAGGGCCAGGCAGAGAAGGGAAGAGGAATTTGGAGGAAACGGGCAGTAGATCACTGTGAGTGTATTTTGGCCTGCTGAGAGCTGCTGTGCAGTTCTTAACCTCTGTGCAGACAGCAAGACTCACTGCAGACTTACTCAGGATTTATCTGAGCCATCCAGACTGGGCCTCACTGACACTCAATTCAGTCACTCAGAAACCAGAGGGGGCTGTGCCACAGCGAAGTCACAAATCAGCAATATACATATTTTACTTCTTACACTAATTAATGCGCCTTTTTAAAAAACGTTCCGAGTTCAATACAAGTTCAGCTCTATCAACAGCATATATGACGTGCTGTTAATTACACGGAAAATAAACCGTAAAAACGGTATTTAGTGTGACACATACAATGGAGATCTATGGGGAAAAGCATTGCACTGGAATAAGCATTACAAAATACACGCTGTGTAACAATTTAACAATTATTTCAACCAAATATCAACAACTATCTGAATAGTTTTAGCATGTTAATGGACTGGGCTTTGGGAGACTAGATCTGCTATGCTGCTCTGATGAGCCAGTATGGACTTTTTACTGCCAATAAATAGACCGATTGTGAGCATGTAAGATATGCTGCTGCTGCTGCTGCATGAATAAATTAGAGTAATGCAGATACATTAAATATTGTTGTTCAGCATGAGAAAAAGGACGCCATATTGATGTGCGCATGCGCAGTTAGCCCTGGTAGGACAATCTGACAGGTAGGATAAAATGTCAGGACACCGGTCCTTGATTCTGATTGGCTGAGCCACGTTCTAAGCTGTTGTAAATTATTCGGCAACCACTTTGTTGCAACCACAACTGATTCTGAGGAACTACATTGTTTGGTGGAAGAATAATGTTTTTATTAATATCATTACACTTTATTTGCTCTGTTTTATTTTGTGAAACCTTACTACGTATATGGAATAACCGTTTTATAAAAGCAATAAACCCAGTGAAGCCATGGTTTACAGTGAATTTATAACAGCGTTGTGCCTAACAACACCCCTTAGCTGTTATAAATTCACTGTAAACCACGGCTTCTTGGGGCTTATTGCTTTAGTATACCATGGCCATGCAGTTCTAATATTTAAAACATAACAGACTATATTAAAGGAGCCATGAAACTGAAAATCAAAATGTCCTTCATATTTAGAGGCTACTCTACAATAAAAACATACTGCAAGTTCACTTGCCTCTCTGAAAGAGGCAACACCCCTTGAAATGTGTGTTCATGACAGAGAGTGAAAATGAGGATAGAAAATTATCATCCTTACAAATATTTGAACTTTTTTTTTTTTTTTGATGCAAAAAACTTTATAAGCTAACCTCTAGAAACATAATAGATCTGAAAATGCATTCAATGACCCATTTAAAGCCTGTTTATTTTAAATAATTTTAAGTCATCTTGGAAACTCCTTGGAAGTTTGCTGAGGCCCCTGACCCCTTTAATTAATAATATATTATCATCAAGTACAGTTTTTTTTTTTTATACTTGTAAGATTTGAAGTACACTAGAAGTGCACAATCAATACAATTCAGCACACTTCTTTTTCACAAGGGAGTGCAAAGAATTTAAAGGTGAAGTGCGTGATATTCGTAGCTCCGCCTACAGGCTCACCCCATTGGCTGAATCTGTGTTGCTGTGTCAGACTGGTCAGGATGCTCAAACAAACTGTATTTACACTGTACATGGAAATCAACCTGCAAATGGTTAACTTTTGCATCATCATTTATTCAAAGGCATTTACTGCTTTATATGCCACACTGAGAATATATTTTCCTTACCCATGGTGCTTTGGGGGGACATGGGGTCCTCATGTTTGAAGGTATTGATGGGGAATGGTGGAGTGTGGTGAGCAGGTGTGTGTCCGTAATTGGGAGCTCCATCTAATGCTCCTGTACCATAACCTGAGAGAAAGAAACAAAGAAAAACAGAGAACGAATGAGTGATTTTGTTCTCAGTGAAATCCACCTTTTCTCACTGAATGCATCTCAGCTGACTCTATTCTTCCTGTTGAAGAATTGTGCATTGTTCTTTGTTTACAAGTGCTAAAAATGTTCTAATGCAAGTCAAATCATTTGAAAATGACCTAATATAAACATAGAAAAGGTTTCACTAATACTCCTGGAAAAAATGCATTAAATATACATCTCTCTCCAACAGACTTATAATTAATCTGGTGCGTAAACCCGCTTGAGACCAATAAGCTCATGCAATGAATCAAGTTGTCGCTGTGACTTTTCCTAAAGTTAATCTAATGATAAATTGCAGAAGTCGATATGGAAATCTTTGTACTGTACTGCGCATCTAAGCACACTAACATCAGACATTTGTGTTGTGAGCTCTCAGATTTAAAGGAGAGAAGCTCTTGAGGATGTTCACAGTGCTGTAAATCATCAACACAAAGAAAACGGGAATGCTAGATTGCAGAGAGAGACACCGCGTGAGACTTATTTTGCATGTGCAATAAAGTCCAATCTTAATGAGCCATTGAGCTATAACATTACAGGAAAATGGCATTTCATGCTCTAAACTTTAAGACCATTTTTTAATAAACACATTATCTCCAGAAAGTTTGCTATATTTATTTGGTTGGTTGGTTGGTTTAATGGAAAATACTGCTTTAATCCTTTAAGAAACATTTGAATCTAGTTTTGTTTAGAACATCAGCAGTCAGAGCATCAATATTCTGGTTTCCCAAATGTTTTAAAGAGGTCAGAAGTGCACCTTCAAGTTCCAGGACGTCTATCAAAGCTGACGCAGCAGATATAAAAACCTTTATGCAGAATTCCATTTCATTAAAGCATCTCAAAGTGAGCACAATGGACAAATATATATATGTTGGCAGAATAGTCGGCTGTATTTTTCACATTCAAATCAAAAAGTATTTGATTTTCCTTGGTTATCAGATACTATGAATCATATTCAAGGATATTTCACTTCTATATGTCTATGTGAATCTTTTTTATCGTCTATCTATTTAATCAAGTAAACTACTGATGTACTCTGCAAGTCATTTAATAATAAATCCATGTTTAACTGTGAATATGGTGGTTATTTTATATATAACATATGATTAAAAATAACTTAAGAATTAAAATAATTATAATTTGTATAATTTCATTTAATGTATAATTACATGTAGTATTATTATTATATTTATAATAAAATATAAAAATAATTTTTTTAAATAAGTATAACATTACTATTTAATTCAAATGCATAATTAATGCACTTTTCAGAAGTAATCATTTGAGAATGACAAGAGATCCTCTATAAATAATTTGGCATCAACAGCTCCGTAACTTTACAATCACACACCAGCTTAATGCAAAACCTCAAACATCTCGTGTCAACTCTGAAGTTTGGTGTTCTTTATGACAGCAGAGACAAACGGAGAAAAAGATTTTGTGGTTCATAACAGAGAGACTGTGAGGCACGAGCGGGATGGTCGGCTGTCTCACCCTGGGTGCGCGGGGCAGGAGGGCTGTCCATGCAGCCTGGCAGATAAGGCCCGCTGGAGAACATCCTGCTCTGGCTGGACGGAGAATCAGCAAACGCCCCGTGCATCCCCATGAGCTGCCCCGAGAAGTGCACGGTGAAGGCCCCCAAACCGCAGTGCGGATCCTCGTGAGGGTCTGCGGGCCCCCAGCCCGGCTCCTGTTTGATGAAGGAGTGGGAGGGAAGAGATCCATACGGGGAGGCAGGGTGAAAGTCCAGCATCGGTCCCCACTGCGGAGCTCCGCCGACAGGCAGGGAACAGTTTGCGTTCGGGACCGCTGGAAGCAGGGCGCTCAGGTCTCTGACATCCGATCCCATCAGGCCACAAGTCTCTGTCAGCATTTAGGAGGATTTTCTTTGTTGCAACACCCTTGAATATCTGCAGACTAGATTTCAAGAAGAACCTGCGCTCAAAGCTACAGGAAAAATCTAAATCTCAAAGAAAAGAGCTCGAAGAGGTCCTAGCAGTCCAGCGGAATGCACGTTTATCTGCTTCTGAGATGGAAAGCGTGTTTGGAGAAACGCATGGGAGAGTTTGAGCAGGAGTAACTTCACTCTTGTACATTTGTCTGGGTCTGTCAGCTCTAAAAACCACCCCACCATCTCCAGAGGAGGAGTCAGAGCTCGGGGTTGTGAAAAAAGTCACTTCTTCTTTACCTTACTCATCTTTTACTTGAACAGTACTTTCAGTCCTCTTCTGACTAATGCCTGGACGTGTGTGCATGAATATGAGTGTGTGGGTGTTTGTTTGTTGTTTAGTTAGCATGAAACCTAATTGTGTAAATGATGTTCCTCAGAGAACTTACTTTATTAAAAGACTTAATTTTCACTCAAATGTTTATTTTATTAAAGTTTTAAAAGTGACACTTTTAAAAAATAAAGGTTTTTTATTGGCATTGACGGTTCCATGAAGAACCTTTCAAATCCATGGAAACATCCATTGCACAAAATGTTCTTTATAGTTGAAAAAAAAAAAAAAAAAACATTGTTCTTTTAAGAGCTATTCATCCATATTCAAAATGGTTATTCTATGGCAACGCTGTGAAAACACCCTTTTTGAACATTTATTTAATAAGTATGTATAATAAGCACACTCGTTTCACCATTTGCCTTTCCTTTGGATCTCAAATGTAAGTGCATTATATGTTTAGAGTGTACTGAAATTAATACAGATAAGGGTCTCCAACTGAAGTGTTGACACTGTGTTCTCTGTGGGGAAGTATAAATGAGTGCTATCTTAGGGATTTGTGCTGTCAGAGTGAAGATTCAATTAAGCTGATGGATGTGCATTGGGATTGGGCAACACTTTTGTGAAATACCAGCACCGTCTGTTGCCTGTTTGAAAAAACATGTGAATGAAAGGCAAAAGGGGAATTTTTAATTTTGTTAGTAAAAACTTGATGCTGACTCTAATATGACATCTAAACATTTAACCCTTCTGCGGTCTTTGGTCACTTCTGACTGGAGAATTTAACATTTTGAATTTTTTAAAATCGTAGCTTTACCGGAATGGTACGAAACTTGGTATGTGAAAACAATTTGAGGGCATGATTTGAAAAAGCTAAGTGGTTGTAAAAAAAAAAAAAAAAAAAAGTCACATTCATGGTCATTCAAAAAAAAGTAGTCACATTCATACAGCAACTGTATGTTTCTTAACCTTGAAATATCAGTTTCAAAGTCATTCTGGTGGTACACTGATTTCTAATTAGGTGCATTGCTGTTGTTACTTTCACACACTTCCCTCTAGTGATGGGTGCTTTCGAAGCACTGCTTCGTGAAGCTTCGAAACTTTTGTGAATCATTTGTTTTAAAACAGTGGTTCGGAGCGCGTATCAAACTGCCAAAGTCCCGTGATTTCAGTAAACTGTTTCAAAACGTTTCGAAATTTCAATGGTTCATCGTTGGGGGGGGCGAACTACTGAAGTACTACTGAAGTAGCCCCCCAGCGGCGAACTACTGAACCAGCGTCTATGGTTTTTACCTGATCTCGGATCAGTTTCATCAATTTGTTGATGTATGCACATATTATACAGACACTTCACATTTTATGGTATTTTATTATTTTATAGCATTTAATGTATTATACTTTAAATAAAACATTTGCAATGGGTTTTTAAAAGCTGTTTTTAAGCATGTTTTAGTCCGAGTTTTTGTTGAATTTACACAATGTTTGGAGCGCTTCGAAACTGTGAATCGTTTTGCGAAGCAATTGGTTCAGTTGATTCGAAGCTTTGACAAGGTTCGTTTCTCCCATCACTACTTCCCTCAAATGTGTGTTCTGGAAGTATGTAGGTTTGGCGAACTGGTACGAAATTCCGCGAAAAGGACAGATTGCTTTACGGCAGCAACAAATGCGCGTGTAGAGATCCACTGGAATTATGAAATTAATTCCACTCGCTTAACTGTAGGGGGCTCCAACGTCGCAAAGATACTCAAAAGTACATATAGTTGCTTTAAAACCACAATTAAATCAAAACGGACAGAATTAAACGTTTTTTAATTCATGTGCCCTCGTTAGCTTTAATCAAAATAACCTCCCCTCCCTCTTGCAAAGACATCTCTTCTCTGATGATGTGTTCACCAGCACAAGGGCCTACTTTTTTTCTTGTTCAATAAACCGTTTCACTCGGATATATGTCACAATAGGGAAGAAAAGACTATCTCAACTTCCTTTTCACACCGGCTTTAACATAACAGTTTTTTTTTTTCAGTTGCAGCTAGTCAGTCTCACAGGTCCTGATCTCCAGCTGGAACACTCCACAGTCTCCTGGAACCAATTACTCAGGATATGTCTCAATTTGTTCTGGGCTTAGGTTCAGTCCAAATGAAGAGTGACATAAAGTGATGATGATGATGATGATGATGGTGGTGGTCTTTTGAAGAAGGGTCAGTCCAGTAGCCATCACCCCTTCTTTACCTCTTCACCCATGGACATCTGGAGTGCTGGTCTGAAAATGTAAATAACATCTCTGACCTCTGCTTGCTGAGAACTCTGGAGGTTGTGTGTGAGTGAGACAGAGTCCAGCAGAGCCGATTCCTCAATCCATGCATCATCTGCTTTATAACAGCCAAATATACTGGGGGAATTCCTCACTGAAGACCAGAAACCAGATTTCACATTGCATTTGTATACAATTCATTCAGCAATTCAGCAACCTTATTAAAGTTACAATGTGATGAACTGGCCATCCATCCAGGGTGTTTCCGAACTGAACTTATGCTGATTTTTCTTTTCATAATTGGGTAACTTTGCAACATCGAGACTGTCACTGAACTGTAGGCCTATCATATCTACTAAATTGAGCTGATTAATGATACTATTGCCTTAGAGCTGCTTTAGCTAAATTGAATTCATTTAATAACTGATGAACTTGGAACTTGGAAACACTGACAGTCATTGAACTAAATTGAATCAACACTGAACTAAATTGAGCTGAAAAATGAGAATTGTCTTTTGTAGAACTGCTTTACAGCTAAAAGTGCAGTCATTTCATAATCATTTAACTTTGCAACTCTTATTTTCTCATTTATTACTGTGAAGCTGCTTTGAAACCATGTGTATTGTATAAAGAGGTAAATAAATGTGACTTTACTCAAAAGCACTCAGAGGCCTACGATTAACTTCTGTTTTCATTTCTCAGGGAATAAATATGGCACTTTTGAATCGGCTCAAAGGGTTAGTTCACCCAAAAATGAATATTTGTCCATGTTTTACTCACCCTCAAGGCATCCTAGGTGTATATGACTTTCTTCTTTCAGTTGAATCCAATTGGAGTTATATTAAAAATTGTCCTGGCTCTTTCAAGCTTTATAATGGCATGGGCAGGTGTTTTTGTTCAACAGTCCAAAAGTAGTCAAATAAAACACGCACATCCATATTAAAACGAGCATCACACGACTCCGGGGGGTGAATAAAGGCCTCCTGTAGCAAATCAATAAGTTTTTGTAAGACAAAAATCCATATTTAAAACGATATAAACACCTTTTTCTCACTTCTGCTAACTGTCGTAGGCGGAAGCATATGCGTAGCGTAAGCGCCGGTGATTAGTGACGAGCACGGAAGCGTGACGGAGAGAGAACAAAACAAAACACCAGTCACGAATCAGAAGAACAAACCTTTGGTAAAGTAAGGAAACTTTACTTCCTTTGCTTCTGTAAACAAACTTTGGTTTTCGCGAGACTCACACACGCATGCGCTGCGCCTACGTCCTACGTCATCCGCCGGAAAGGCAGTCTCTCATGAACACGCGTACGACAGTTAGCGTAAGTTACACAAAACTGTTTATATCGTTTTAAATATGGATTTTTTTTTTTACAAGAACGCATCAATTCGCTACAGGAGGCCTTTATTGACATCCCACCCCCCCAGAGCCGTGTGATGCGTATTTTAATATGGATGGATGCGCTTCATTTGACTACGTTTGGACTGTTGAATAAAAACACCTGCCCATGCCATTATAAAGCTTGAAAGAGCCAGGACCATTTTTAATATAACTTCGACTGACTGATTCATCTGAAAGAAGAAAGTCATATACACCTAGGATGGGGTGAGTAAAACATGGACTAATTTTCATTTTTGGATGAACTAACCCTTTAATAATATAACATTATGAATCAAGGTACAGGGTTAGTTCACCCAAAAATGAAAATTCTGTAATTAATAACTCACCCGCATGTCGTTCCGAACCTGTAAGACCTTCATCTTCGGAACACTAATTAATATATTTTTGATGGAATCCGAGAGCTTTCTGACCCTGCAGCAACGCAACTGACATGTTCAAGGCCCAAAAAGGTAGTAAGGACATCGTTAAAGTAGTCCATGTGACATTAGTGGTTCAACTGTAACACGACGCATGCGTGTGGTGCTGCTGATGCGTGGTACTGTCATGAATGCGCGTCGACTGACATGGAAGAGAAGAAATCATTGTATGAAGTCATTATTTTTGTTTTCATTGCGCACAAAAAGTATTCTCGTAGCTTCATGATATTATGGTTGAACCACTGATGTCACATGGACTATTTTAACAATGTCCTTACTACCTTTCTGGGCCTTGAACGTGTCAGTTGCGTTGCTGTATATGCAGGGTCAGAAAGCTCTTGGATTTCATCAAAAATATCCCAATTTGTGTTCTGAAGATGAACGAAGGTCTTATGGGGTTTGAAACGACATGAGGCTGAGTAATTCAATTCAATTCAAGTTTATTTGTATAGCACTTTTCACGATGCAAATCGTTGCAAAGCAGCTTTACAGAAAATTTAAGTTTCTACATTATATTTAGTAATAGCTTATCAGTGGTGACTATCTCAAGTTGATGTCCATATGGCAGGAATGTATGGTAAAAATCAAGCAGTTCGTTAATGTCATGTAATCAAACAGACGGTGAACACTATTAACAGCAATGATTATGTTGCGATCAAACTTATAGCAAAATTTGGTAGTTTTGTATGTTGTCTGAGGGTTGGCATCATCTGAGGTCTTCTGAGGGGTTGGCATCATCTCTTCTCAGGTGTTCGGTCATCTCAGGTCTTTGTAAGGGCTGGATC